GCGGCACGCGCGCTGGCGTCGCACGGGCTGAGGAGGCCTCAGGGTCCCACCCTGAGCCCAGCTCACAGCAGCCCGGGAAGAACCTGCTCGGGGTGCACGGGCGAGACCACGTGCCTGAGGGAGCGCCAGTGGCAGCGAAGGGGTTAGGCGCCACCGCACTCCGGCCTGACTCACCCTCCTAGCTCTAACCACTGCGGACTATTTTTGCCAGAGAGGGGCCCCAGGCTTCCCAGCCGCCCCCAGCCCCTGCCAGACCGCAGCCCCAGGCACGGCTGGTCCCGCGCACCCAAGATGCACTGACTCAGAGATCGCCTCCCGCGAGCAGGCGCTGGGGCTGATACCCACGGTCGCCATCGCCTCTTCCTCGCCGGCGGCGAGGCTGCTCCGGTCCGTGCCGTGGCGGGTCCTGCCTTGTGCTGAAGGGGGCGCTGCTGGTCTGGGGGCGCACAGTCTGAGACATCTGGGAATTACATCTGTTGGCACCCTGGCGACTACCTTTATGCGCCAGCCCCTACCATGCACCCTGCCCCTGGGAAGCCCGCGCCACAGAGCTGCTTTTCTCTGACTCCTACCCCCAGGCTGGGGAGAGGGAACCCGGGAGCTCCTGACCCCGCTTCTCACTTAGAGCGCAAAACCCAAACCCTGTGTGCCTTTGGGGGCCACCATAATCCGCAAGCCCTACCCCAGTGGTTTCCGTCCTTATACCTGGACTCAGTGGTCACCAGTGTCCGTGTCCTTCCCGCTGTCAGCTAGAACTCCGCTCGGGTCCCTGGAGGTGGGGAGGAGGTTTGCTATGGCTCTTGTTCCACAGGGAGCTCATGGACATTTGCGTTTCTCCACGCGTCTCTGGTCTCCTGCAGGTTTGGGATTTTGTTTTTATCTTGTTCTGCCTCTGCCCTCAGACTTCAGCATACAGTCAGGTGTCAAGAAGGGGCTGGGGCCAGCACTTACACCATAGGTTTTCAGTACTTGGTGACCTAGGATTCCACGCTGGACTCCAGCTCCGGGAGCCTCGCTCCTGCTCTCTCACCGAACGCTAGTTCTGCAATAGGAGGCCACAGGCAGGCAGACTGGGTGGCCCGAGCTGGCCCACAGTGCCCTCAGCCCGACCGGCTGGCCTGAGGACTGACCCGCAGGCAGCGAGAGGGCCGTGGGACAGGCGGGGCCTGGAGAAGGCTGCGGTGCACACCCATTGCCTAATGCCCCAAGCACGCGGCCAGCTCCAGGGAAGGGGCGGGGCGGGAACCGGAGAGACCTTGACAAGGCTTTGGGCCGCGACAAGAGGGGAGAGTGGGGGCTGTCATCACCGCAGCGAGGAGTGGGAGCAAGCTGGGCCCCCTTCCACGGGAGAGAAGGGCAGGGCGCTTTCCTTGCCGCTGCGGGGATGGAGAGTGTGTGGAGGACAGCACGGGAAGAACAGTGGGTCCTGGAGGGCGGAGTCAAAGCGTGGAGCCCCTGGAGATTGGGGGATCAGGCAACTGAGGCGGCGGAGAAGCCTTGGGAACAACCTCCTCCCCCCCATGTTTGCTTTGGCCCGGGGTCCCGGGTGACTCATCTGTTGCTAAGCTGCTGATAGGGGCGGCCAGGCCCGGGGAACTCAAATTATAGGCCCGGGAGGGATGGATGCGCCCGCGGCGGTGAGCTCAGCTGTGCTGCCTGCCCTCCGCCTCGCACGCCTTCTGCTGCAGCACCGAGGGCCACCACCCGGAGGCACCAGAGGGTCCGCGCCCAGACTGCGCGGCGCTTGCAGGAAGCCCCCTGTCCGCAGCTGGCCGCAACAGATCTTTAGGATTATCCTCACAGGACTTTACCCCTTCTGTACTCGGGGTGGATGGGCAAGCCATGCCGCCGCAGCCCCAGGCGCTGGCACCTCAAAGGAAGCAGGGTCCTCAGCCCACAGACTCTCCTCCCAGAGCGCGCCGCTCCTCCCCAGATCCCAAGGTCAGAGCACAGCCCCTCTCCCCTCCAGCCTCTCCCGATCCCTGCTCTGGAGAATGGTTTGCTCCTGATTTTCAGGCCTTTAGAGTTATCTGTGGTCAAAAACCGACACAGAAACATGAAGCAGGGAAAAGGAGATTGGGAGTGGGGCTCTAGCCTATAAAGGGGAAGGAAAAAAGAAGGCGAAGGAAAAGGTCATCATAGAAGGGCACTGCGGGAGACAGAAAAGCAGGTGCTGACCCGAGAAAGCAGCACGCTTGGTCTGTTCAAAGGATTGCCAAGGAGGAGGCCGGTGGAGGAGGAACCACAGGGAGAGAATGGTAGAGGGTGAAATTAGAGGATCAGGAAGGAACAGTCAGATTATGTGGGGCCTTTTAGACCATTGTAAAGACTTTTCTTTCTGTTTGCTTGATTTTTGAAACAGGGTCTCACTATGGGCCTTGAACTCATGGCAATTGAACTCAGGGCCTTGAACTCATGGCAATCCTCCTGCCTCAGCCTTCCAAATGCTGGGATACCGGGCAGACACCACCACGCCCAACTGTTTTTGTTTGTGTTGAGATGGTCTTGCTGCTGTTTCTAGGCTGGCTTTAAACTCACTGTATAGCCCAAGCTGGCACTGACTTTTTGATCTTCCTGCCTGAACCTCCCGAGTACCTGACATTAGGTTGGGATGACAGGCCTATACCACCATGCCCAGCCTGACTTCCTTTTAGAAAGGGTGCTGTGTGGAGAGCAGACAAGGGGGCCAAGTGTAGAAGCTGGGAGCGCTGTCAGGAGACTACTGCAGGAATGAGGTGGAGACTCAGAGAGTCACTTAGATACTCAAATGAGAAATGGGTTTATTTATTTACTTATTCATTTAATCTTTTTGAGACAGGGTCTTGCTATACAGTTCAGGCTGGCCTCGAACTCACAGTGATCCTTCTGCCTCAGCCTCCCAAGTGCTAAGATTACAGGCCTGCGCCACCTTGCCTGGCTAATTTACTATTTCAACTTTTTTTTTTCTTTTTGGCATTAGAGATTGATCCAGGGCTTTGCACATGCTATGCATGTGCTCTGAACAACCCCCAGCCCCTCAGCCAGTTTTTGAGTGTACAGCTCAGCAACACTAAGCACATTCACATATATTGCATTTTTCTTTATTTATGTATTTATTTATTTATATTTTGAGGTGGTACCAGGAATCAAACTCAGGACCTCACACTTGCCAGGCAGGCGCCGCACCACTGAGCTAAATCCTGGCCTGCAAGAAATGTTTTTAAAATTCTGTAATTATCTAAATTCTCTACTTTGTTGGGTTTTTGTCTTTTGTTTTGTTTTTTGAGACAAAGTCTCATTATGTAGTTCAGGCTGGTGTTGAACTCACTATGTAGTCCAGACTGGCCTCAAATTCTCAGTGATCCTCCTGCCTCAGCCTCTCAAATGCTGGGATTACAGACATGCACCGCCACATCCATCCCCACTTTGTTTTGTATGCGGCAAGGAGTCTTGAGTTCTGAAGTGTTGTTCCTCGGGAAGTGTCAAGGATTTGAAAGCTACTGTTTCAAACAAACAAAAGACAAAATGCCATCTGTGCTGAAGGTATTGTAAGGTCTAAGTGCAAGTGGTCTAAGAAAAGCAGAAAAGCCACCAGCACAAGGCCTGGCTGGATAGGGACTGGAGACCTGCCTGGTTGGGAGCAAGAAGGGATGGTGGTTCAGGTCATCAACAGGGAGTAAGCTGGGTGTGGCATGGCACGCCTGTAATCCCAACACTCGGGAGGCTGAGGCAGGAGGATTGCTGTGAGTTCACGGCCAGCTGAACTACATGGTGAGACTATGTCTCAAAAAAAAAAAAAAAAAAATTAATGGGGGAGCAAGAGAGTGTTGAGATGGATCGGCCTGCCTATGTTGTGAAGATTGAGGGACAGGACTTGTGATACTGAACCTGGAGTTTGAAACAGATGAGTCAAGGATGACTGCAAGAGTCTCATCCCAGCCAACTAAAGCATGGAACTGTCATTTACTGAGATGGAAATGAGTGAAGTAGCGGGGGTGGTGGTGAGTCAGGTGATGAGGGATCAGAGTTTAGATTTTAGCCCAGCGTGGTGGAGCATTTTAGTGATTTAGCAAGACCCTGTCTCAAAATAAAAATGAAAAAGGTCAGGGGATGAACTTCAGTGCAGAGCCCCAGACTGCAGGTGGGAGAAGAGTTCAGCTACGGACCTGTGAATTGGGAGAGGTTAGCGTCCTGAGTCCAGAGATATGTCAGGGAACGTGAGACGCTCCGTCTGCAGTCCACCAGGGAGTCTGTTAAGACTGAGAAACCTGGGCACTGATTTTTAGAAACGGATGACACCGAGGATCCAGGGAAGGGGACCTAAACGGGAGCGGCCAGGGAGAGAGGGAGGTGCTCAGAAAGCAAGGGAGGAAGTATTTCAAGAAGGAGGAAGTAAGTGTTGGATGGTCTGCTGTTACAGGAAGGTCAGTTAGGATGAGAACTACGACTTGGCTATTGGGCAGGGCCAATAAATGTTCCTGAATGGTGCTGATAGGGAGGTGTAGTGCGTTTAAAGGCATGACTGGAGCAGAAAGAGAATGAAGAGCTGGGCAGGCAGCACCTACCTATATGTAATCCCAGTTGCCTGCTGTGAGTTCAAAGCCAGCCTGGTGTGCATAGTGAGTTCAAGGCCGGCTGAACTACATAGTGAGACTATGTCTCAAAAAAAAAAAAAAAATTAATGGGGGAGCAAGAGAGTGTTGAGACAGATCAGTCTGCATAGGTTGTCTTTCATTTTTATTTTGGGACAGGGTCTTGCTAAATCACTAAAATGCCCCACCCCTGCTGAGGCTGGAGAATGGAAAGTTCAAGGCAAGTCTGGTCAATGTAGCAAGACCCTGTCTGAAAAAG